ACGGAGCTGACTCGACAATCCAAATTAGCAGTTCTCTCTCGGGGGAATATGCGAAGCGCAGCGAGTTATTAATGAGTATAGAACTTCACCCCGAATTAGCGCAATGCCACGCGGGAACAACGTGTTTATACGGTGAGAAAGAGAGAGAAAGAGGTTGGAGGGGGAAAGAAGAAAAGTGAAACAGAGGGAGAGGGAATAGCGCTACTTCGAAGACAAGATGTAAAGCCGAAGGCGGATATCGAGTTCAAAGTCGAGTATCGTTTTCGCAGTTGAGTCACTATATAACGTGTTTAACAAGCGTGATCGTTCATGGAGTCGCGAGAATTCGCACAGTCGCCCGCGATTGCTTGGCTTCGCGTTTATCAGCGGGAAAGGGTTTACAACTGCGCGTTATATCGCAAACGCATGGCTCAGCCGTGTAACTTTCAGGAAAGCGGGTCGACTATGAAGTTCCCGAGCGATCTCGGATTTTACACACGCGAGGGAACCGACGAGGATTCTCTCCGGTGTGTATCTCGCGTAATCTATTCACGATCGTATTAACCCCCAGCGATCCAATGTACCAGCTGACGTGTAAAATCTCGTCCGACGAAAATCAAATTGTCACGAACGAATGAACGATTAAAGTAAATTGAATAGGCTTAACGAGTTTCCACGAGATTAGCGGAAATGGCGAGCGTTGTAAGAGCGTGAAACAAGCGGATGCGGAGTCGGAAGGAGACGCGGCCAGAGAACGTAACCGAACGAAAGGGGTCTCCCTCGTGAGATAAAAGGAAAAAAAAAACTTTATCTATTTCAACATAATGGTGAAAGAAAAAGAGGAAAAGAACCTTATCTCATTTCCATGGTGTAACTTTAGTTTCGAATATTGAGTCGCACATTTCACACACACACACACACATACGCGCGCACGCACATGCACGCACGCACGCGCACACACACACATATATATATATATATATATATATTAAATAAGAATTACGCATTAAAAAAAATATCTAAAAAAACAAATATTTGCCCCATGTGGATACTAATAATTTATTTATGTTAATATATATATTTTTACATTGAGGAAAGAGAACAAATTTCTTTCAAATGAGAAAATATATATTTTTCCAAAGCGCCGTTGTTTTTTCTTCGAAGTAATTGTTTATTCCATTTAAACAAGAGAATTTATGTTTAAGTAAATATGTTATTAGTATGCACCGAATATTTCTCATTTTTCACGTATTTTTCTCTCAATGTATAATTAAGTAAGAATTGTATATAAGAATATAGAAATATTATAAATCAAATGTGAATATATATTAGCGGTATGTGTGTATTTGTGGATGTTTTATTAACTATTTATTAACTTTATCGTAACTTCACAGGTGTAACTTTACACCACTCGACTGCGAGTTCTGTATTAGTCTATAAATCATCCAAATTTACAGTCGTCGATAACGAAGTATCATATTTATACGACATTTATATATTCCGACAATAAATCGTTGAATAAAATGGACGATACATCGCGTTGGAAGAGTTTTACGAGGCTGGCTCCGTTATAAATAAATTCACGTAAGTGCGACATCGATCTTCACAATCGTGCATGGCCATCGATCAAACAACGCGGGCACGATGAAATTTCTCGTAAACTTTCAAGGCTGAACAATTCGTTGCCGAGTTATCGCTTAAATAATGCCCTAGCCTTATCGTTTCCAACTACTACCGCGATACGCGTGACGATATCGAATGCAATTACACATCTGGTCTTTCTTGTTCATATATCTACTTTTTTTCTATTATAGAGTTTAACTCTTATTTTAACTTGTTCGCGTGTATCGCGCGTTTCTCGGATACTTCCAGCGATTTGGGCAATGGAGAGTCAAGCGCAGAGTTCATTAAGTCTTACGCGTAAATTATGAGTCACGTCAGCATCGGCCACCGGTAACCACAATATTCAACGTGTTAATGTGCGTTACAATCTACCGTACTGAACAGCACGTTATCGCGATATTTTTGCATATCACAGAGACGAGGAATTTTAAGGTGAGAATAAAATCGGCGAACGCATTAGTGAATCTCTCACAAAACTGATTCCTCTCACGAGGAATTAGAAGCAGGTCTAATCTTTGTTTCAAGTTAAATTATGCTTTCTCATCGCAAACTTCGAAATTCTATTCATGATCTATTCGTGGGATGGGAATTAGCTGTGACGTATGTCGGGGTGGATTCTCAATGCGAGTGAAACAAGCGCGATCTCTCTTTCTCATTGCAGGAATACTCGATCAGCATTACGTCCACTGTACGACACTCTTTCTTCTCGAGTCACTTCCTGCGTCGCGGTGACTCACGTGAGCAGACTGCGGATTAAAACGCCACGGTTCTTCGTGATCTTTGTTGAGAGAGACGCAGCGAACCAATCGCAAAATCGTATCTTCAAGTACAAGAATAGCAGCGTAACGAGCGTGAAGCAAGGCCGATCGCTGATCCAGCTCAACTTCAGTGCTTGGTGCAACCGCTTCGAAAATTATTTTTAATTGCGACTTAATCTTCCTTTTCACTTTAACACAAAACATCAAAAATTTCGCTCTGAACATCGGATTTTAATTTTTTTGTCTCGATACTAATTGATAACTTCTATTTGAATTCGTGTCTATAAAGAGATTAATGTCGATTTTATTTTTATTTAGATTTTAATATTTTCATCTATGTGATGTTTATAAATAAAATATCAGAAAAGGATGTTTTTCTCACGGAACAGTAAATCACTAAAAATGCGGCCAAACGATTAGAGACTAGTTGGTTCTCTTTCAGCATCGACCCGAGTGTTTCCGAGTCAATATTTTTATATGCGATGCGTTCTGTGTCTGTTGGATCGATAGAACTCTTTAAACATTTTACGCTGATTTTCTCTCCTGCGCGCTGCGCATCCCCCATGTACCTCCTCCCCATTCTCTCTTTCTCTCCCCCTCGCTCTTTGTCTCCTTCTCTATTCATCTCTCTCTTTCCATCTCCCTCGATATTAAAACGATTAATCCCTATTCTCTTCTCCCGCCATGGACTTAAACTAACGAGATTCGTGTCAACCACCAGATTTAAAAGACCGTAAGTTTTAGTTTTGATGAATCGACGCGTGAATCTTCTCTGGAATTTCCACAGTATATTAATTTATTAATTGATTCAGTGTGATGAGCAAAGTTTACGTGAATTTACTCAATTGTCCACAACAAGAGATGTAATCTAAGATAAAGAAAGAAAGGCAGGCAAATGCGAACAAACAATACCAAATTAATCGCGTTCACAATTTCAACTCGTTGTTACAGCTTTTCATTTTTCATATATTTTCCTTTGTACTTTTTAGTTTTACGATTGTACTCTTTCAGCTGGATTCTTTCTTTGCTGAACCCCAAGCCGCGTGCATTTTATTTTAAACACGGACGACAGTGCAAGGACCTGGACCTGCAGAGAAAAACACGTTCCTTTTCGAGCGCGGTCTATTTTCTTCGCCTCTCGCATTACTCACTTGGGTCTCCGAAAACACATTCCCGTAAACACATATTGAGCATAGCTCAGTCAGTTTTCCACCTTTTTGTAAAAACGGAATATGAGAAAACTGAATCATTTGACTTTAAGTATTTTTAATCACCGCAACAGGCTTTTATATTTTCAATGTGCGATAACACAGAGTCGTCTTTCGAAATTACATTCTGAAAGTTTACACAATTAAATTGTTTTCCAAAACGTTCTTTTTGAAGAAAATTTTACTGAAAATCCTTAATAACATGAACTGTTTTTCTGTAAAATGTTTAGAATACAACATTACTGAACAATCTAGAATCATGTGCAATCGCATTATTAATCATACAATATCGACAAAACAAATTTCAAAATCTTTCATTTAGACAGACTTCGTGAAATTAAAAACCACATCGGTGAAGGATTACTACATTATGCAGTAAACTAAACCTCGGTAAATCTCGAGCATTTTTGCGAAATACGCATAGCTAGGGCGTGTTATCATCGCATTCAGTGCATGACACGTTCAGACACGTCTTTCAAAGTTACATTTTAATATTTTTCAGTTAGTAATCAATTTAGAGAAACACGAGCATTCTCATTATTAATTATATAACACTGACAAAACAAATTCCAACTTTGATTGAATCAATGATTAAACTTCGTAAAACTGTAAAAACTATTTTGTTGAAAATCGCTGTGTTAACTACGGAAGTGAACCCTATTGAATCTCGAGCGATGTTTACGGGACGGCGCGAAGTCCCGCGTAAACGATGCTCTTTCGTGAACGAGACACTCTTCCTATCGTCGCGTATCGCGAACGGCCGGGTGAGCCATGACCGTAAGAGGAAACGCTAGTTGCCCGGTGCGGAATGAGGAGCGCGAGCCGGGCGAGCTTGCTCGCTCGCTCAGCGTCGATTCACCGGCTCGCTGGGAAAATCAAGAGGAGATAATGAGAGGAACAAAGAATCGTTGTTTGGGAACGTCGTTGTTTCCCGACGGAGAGCTGCTTCCTCGGATTGTCTCAGGTACCGAGCAAGCGGCGTGCCCAAGATCCCCGCAACCGGTGCGAGCCCAACATCGTACCAGTCTCTTTGGTGCCGTAGACGCGCGCGAAAACGACACCCACTAACTTAGTGCGCCTCACAATGAATCCTTCGGCGGATCGGAGCGCAAGGGGGCGTGAGGATCATTTTCTAACGAGGTTGCGATGGAAAATCGCGCCGGTTTCGAGTACCTATGAACGAACGAGCAAACAAGCGCGAACCGCTGCCGTCGCTAACACCACCACCACCACGATCATGACCACCACCACTACCACACCACCACCACCGTCGTCGTCATCGCCACCGCCGTCGCCGTGAACGATTTCCGGCGGCGGTCGGTTCGGCGTGCCACGCCACGGCGATGCACGGCGCCTTCTCGCAGGGGTGCGGGCGGGGGGGATCGCCACCGCGATCTTTTTTTAGAAGCCGCACGACCCGGTCGGTCCTTACCTCCTCTTTCGTGCCTCCTGAAAGCCCCACGCTTCTTCGTTCGCGGAACACAATATCTCCCGGGTTTACTCAATATTTCTGCTTCCTCTCTGCCGCTGTTCTTCTCGTCCTCTCGCTCTCGTTCTTTCTCTCTCTTTTCTTCTCTCTTTTTCCGTGTCTGTCGCTCGCGCAAGTCGGCTCGGCAGCTCTCGGGCGCGCACCACACACATACACACAAGCACGCAGTCTCTTACTCCCTGTGTCTTACTCTCTCTCTTCTTCTATATCCCTCTCTCTTTCTCTTTCACGCCTTCGTTGTCTCCGTCTCACACGCGCGCGCTGTTCGTTTCCTCTTCTCTCGTATCGCCTTTCGTCCGCCTCTTCTTCGTCTTCTCCGCTAAGATTTCCCGGAGATTAACCGCGCGTTACTACCTGAAGACCCGGCTCGCTCTACAACTCAATACCACTCGACGCTCTGGCTTCGCTCCTCCGTCGCCACACTGTCACGAGTTCATGGGGATCCGCGTGTAGAATGAAAGCCGCTGTCTGCACGCTGATATGTCCGTTCGCTCTCGCTATGAACGCTCTCGGGACCAAACCGACAAGTCGGAGGCGGCTACTCAGCTAGCCACCCAACTAACCAACCAACCAAACGACCGGTCGAGAGATACGAGAGTGTCGCGATCCGATTAATACCCGCACTGGCCGAACGAATTGGAGTCGCGCGCCGCACGTCGTCAACGTACGTAGTTACACCGGGGGGCTTCTCCTCTTCTCTTCACTTCTCTTCTCTCTTCTCCTGTCGTCGCTCGTTTTTGCTTTCGTGTCTCGGCGCCGATATCGGCACTGGTGCGAACCGATCGATCGATCAACTCACTCGCGATTCACAGGGACGACGTCTCGAAGACGACGACGACGACGAGGACGACGCTATTACGCGGACGGACGCGCCTCTCTGCCGCCGCCTTCTTCTGCTTTCCTGTGATCCCCGCCGCTCGATTTTCGCACTCTCGCGAGAAGAGACAACGCGACACCACTGCGCGTTTCTACCGTTATCTAGGGCGATGCCTCTCTTGTCTCGATGCCGCCGCGCCGCCGCCGTGCCCTCTACCTTTATGCACGCACCGCCGCCATTAGCATCGACGTGGTGAGGTAGCTGAGAAGCATCGGTCACTGTTCTGTTGTACCGACAGTTTGTGCGTAGTGAAAGTCACCAGGACTGATCGCTTTCAAATCGTCGTAATTGACAAAGTGCAGACAAAGGCCGTATTCCATTTTTACTGCCAGCAATGAAAATCTATAGTATATGTGACAAAAACTGTAGATTTTCAATACTGACAGTAAAAGTGGAAAACGGCCAGAGTACAGATCATGGATGTAAAAGTACTTTTACATACGAGCGTCGAGCGTTGAGCACATGCATGGTAATGGTTGCTTTCCAATTGCTTAACACATCTTGACACATATGTACACATATGTATACATATGTGAAATGCACAAAGTGTAACGTTGTGCACGATTCAATTGGAACAAAGTGTGTACTAATGTGTATGTATGTCGGATAAGGTTAGGATTATTTTTCAACTATGCTTATATTTTGGTATTTTTTAATAATAAATAATAAAATCTAAATAATAAAAAAGATATCCACTTCACGTCACAAATGTCAGTCTCTTTTCAAGCCGCTATGATTATTAACTTTAATTTTCACTAGAAAACACTAGTTTACACAACCGACTAGTAGCCCTTGAGCTGAGTACGGATATGTAATGTTGTGTCGACGATTACGACAATTGGAATACAACTTGTGTCGCCGTGTGCATGAAAATGTCTAAGGATATTGCAATTGGAAAGCACCCAATATACAGGGTGTTCGGAAAGTACCGGGACGCCCGAATATCAGGAAAAATATAAGTTTTACAAAAAAATGTTTCCGACAAAAGTTGTGGCGTTTAA